TCAACACCTTGTCATTCCATTAATATTAATAATATAGGAAGACTTCTAGAGGGCATGCTTTTTTGAAGGGAATTTTTTTAATTTTACTGTTGGAGTTTCCTTCTCACGTTCCTTCTTTCTCTTTTCCTCTTTCTCGTTTTCCTTTTTTTTTTTTCCCATCTTCCTAGTTTCCTCTTCCTCCTTCTTCCTTTTCTTAGACTTCTATTGAGTGGTTGCCCATGTATTCTCCCTTACAGTGTTAAAGGCATTAGTTTTTAGGGTATATAAAATTTGCTATTTGGGGGGATTTTCATGTAAGTACTGTGTCTTCATTGGAAAAGAAAATGTAATGCTTTCTTTTCCATGACCTGGAGCTGTTTAATTAGCATTAGAGATATCTACTCCTTGATGGTTTTATAGACTAGTCCTTGAAATCATCCAAGTCTCTCCTCAAAGGGGCAAAAAGGGAGGGTGATGATGATTATGGGTCTTTGACAACTTTGTTTTTTCCAGATACTGGTCTGTTTGAATTTCTCCTTTTATGGACAGTTTTGGCAATTCATATTATCATAAGAAATCATCTAGTTTTCAAAATTAATTGCATATATATATATTTTTCAATTTCCTTTTTATCTGTACTTATTTTCTCATTTAAATGTCTTATTTCATATATTTGTTCTTTTTCCTTTTTTTTCCTTGTTTATAGACTAGCTATTGATTTCTCTATTTCATTGCTTGAAGTAATCAACTGTTTTATAATTCATTATTTTCTAACTATCTTTTAAATTTATTCTGGTTAGATTTAATGTTTTTATTCCCTAACTTTTTGCATTTGATACTTAGTTCACTTATTTTAATTACTTTTTCATTTATCAAAATAACTTTTTAATGTTTTACATATGTTGGGGTTATATTTTTGGTGCAGTGATGTTAATGATGTTATATCTTCTTTGTGGTTTGTTACATTTATCATTTCAAAGGTTATGGTTGAATTTTGTTGAATTTTAAGTTATGTGATATTAAAATTGTACTCCTAATTTCTACCATCATTTTCCGCTTACTTTTGACAATTCCTCTATTTTCAGCCTTTAGTGCCTGTCGAACCTTAAAATATAATCAGACCATGTCAACTCATGCTTTAAGATCTCAGACATCCCTTTACCTTAGAATAGAGTGATTCCCTTTGAGTCTTTTAGCTCCTCCCTATGAATCTTAAGACATTGAGCCATTTTACAGTCTCTTGTAAGACCTCGCTGTCCCCTGCCCTTCAAGTCCCTAGCATAGGAGCCTCCTTCTGGTACTTGCAGTAAACTCTTGTGGCACTCTTTGACTCCACAATTCTATTCTCTCAATCTGGAACTCTATTCCCTTAATTCTTCAATTGCTTTATTCTTTGTCATCATGCTTCAGCTCAAATCTTACCTTTTCAGAGATTTTTTCTATCATCACTGTGATCTAACTCTGTAACAACCATATCTCACAAACACTTCACTCACATTTCCCTCATGGCACTCCTTATCTGAATTTATCTTATTTACATATGTATGTAATTTTCATATCTACCCTCACTAGAATTTAAGTTTCTTAAATGCAAGTTTCTTGCCTGAATTCTCCACTATACCTAGAGTGTTTGCCTAGCATGTACTTGGCAAACAATAAATATTTGCTGAAAGAAGTAAAAGAACTAAAAGAACTTCCAACACTATATTGAATAGGAGTGGTGAGAGAGGGCATCCCTGTCTTGTGCCAGTTTTCAAAGGGAATGCTTCCAGCTTTTGCCCATTCAGTATGATATTGGCTGTGGGTTTGTCATAAATAGCTCTTATGATTTTGAGATACGTTCCATCAATACCGAATTTGTTGAGCGTTTTTAGCATGAAGGGCTGTTGAATTTTGTCAAAGGCCTTTTCTGCATCTATTGAGATAATCATGTGGTTTTTGTCTTTGGTTCTGTTTATATGCTACATTACGTTTATTGATTTGTGTATGTTGAACCAGCCTTGCATTCCAGGGATGAAGCCCACTTGATCATGGTGGATAAGCTTTTTGATGTGCTGCTGGATTCGGTTTGCCAGTATTTTATTGAGGATTTTTGCATCGATGTTCATCAGGGATATTGGTCTAAAATTCTCTTTTTTTGTTGTATCTCTGTCAGGCTTTGGTATCAGGATGATGTTGGCCTCGTAAAATGAGTTAGGGAGTATTCCCTCTTTTCTATTGATTGGAATAGTTTCAGAAGGAATGGTACCAACTCTTCCTTGTACCTCCGGTAGAATTCGGCTGTGAATTCTTCTGGTCCTGGATGTTTTTTGTTGGTAGGCTATTAATTATTGCCTCAATTTCAGAGCCTGCTATTGGTCTATTCAGGGATTCAGCTTCTTTCTGGTTTAGTCTTGGAACTAGAAATACCATTTGACCCAGCCATCCCATTACTGGGGATATACCGAAAGGATTATAAGTCATGCTGCTATAAAGACACATGCACATGTATGTTTATTGCAGCACTATTCACAATAGCAAAGACTTGGAATCAACCCAAATGTCCATCAATGACAGACTGGATTAAGAATATGTGGCACATATATACCATGGAATACTAGGCAACCATAAAAAAGGATGAGTTTGTGTCCTTTGTAGGGACATAGATGCAGCTGGAAACCATCATTCTCAGCAAACTATCGTAAGAACAGAAAACCAAATACCGCATATCCTCACTTACAGGTGGGAATTGAACATTGAGATCACTTGGACACAGGAAGGGGAACATCACACACCGGGTCCTATTGTGAGGAGTGGGTGGGGGTGGCGGATAGCATTAGGAGATATACCTAATATAAATGACGAGTTAATGGGTGCAGCACACCAACATGGCATGTATATATATATATGTAACAAACCTGCACATTGTACACATGTACCCTAGAACTTAAAGTATTAAAATAAAAAAAAAGAAGTAAAAGAATTACAAAGGAAGGAAAGAAGGATAGAAGGAAGGAAGCCTTCCTTTTAAGCCGTTTTATTCTCTTAAAACTGTACTTGGGATCTCTAAGAGGCTCAGTTTTGGCTTTCAATGCTAGAGTATTTTTTTTTAGATGGGGTCTCTCTCTGTTGCCCAGGCTAGAGTGCAGTGGCATGATCACAGCTCACTGCAGCACTGCAGCCTTGACCACTCGGGCTCAAGCGATCCTCCTATCTCAGCCTCCTGAGTAGCTGGGACCACAGGTGCAGGCCAATATACTGAGTTAACTTTTAAATTACTTGTGGAGGTGAGGTCTTGCTATGCTGCTCAGGCTGGTCTTGATCTCCTGGGCTCAAGCAATCCTCCTGCTCTGCCTCTCAAAGTGCTAGATTACAGGCATGAGCCACCACACCCGGCCTGAAGTATTTATTCTAATCTAAGCTTTACTCCTTGCCTCCTGCTGTTCCAACTAGATAATCACCAGCTGTTATAGGTTAAAATAATACAGTTTCCCTTTGTTAAATAAGTAATTTTTATTGGTATGGTAATTTTTCATCATTCGTTTCCCACCCACTTCCCATATGCAATGCTCATATGATGGATGTTGTAAGTTCCCTTCTCCCTCACCCTAGTGACCTTTAATACATTATTCCCAAAGTTTCTCACACAAACATGACTTGAACATTTGAAGAACATTGAATCCTAACCAAGAAATCCTTGATATCATCAGAGAGAATTACAAAATCCTTCTGCAATGGGTCATACCCACAGAGATTTCAGGAAAAGAGATAAAAAACTTTAGAAGACAGAAAAAGGAGAGGCACATTTCCAGATGACTCAACATTCCCTGCAGCTTTTATGAAAGCAGTTTTACTTAATACTTCCAACCAAGCGTTAGCAATGTATGAGATCGGAATTAAACAGTAACTGGAAAAGGGCCATGTTTTTGCTAGTTATAAGAAACAGAGGATAATCTTTAGCTCACATGAACCTACTTCCATTATAAGACCATCTGATGGCAGCAGACCCCTAATTATGAATTTCATCTTTTCATATTTTAGATCAAACCACACTACTGAAAGGATGATCAGCGCAATCTTCATTTACAGGGCATCTGCTATATCCAGATAATGGGAAATAAACAGTTCCATGACATAGTATGGACAGGAGCTCACTGTACTCTGAGAGAGAGAGGCATGTGCACAGATAATTTTAATAGCAATGCTCAACAAATATTAAAGAAGCTAGAGGAGGAGCTCTTAACTTAATAAAGAGGTAAGTTTAGGATGCCCCAAAGAGATGATGCCCAAAGTGAGATTTAATATGTTCAAATTACCGAGATTAAAATAGGAAGTAGAGGGATAAATATCATAGAGGGACACTAAAGGCTACTTTGCATAATGATATAAAGAGGTCTATTGAAATCAAAGGAGAGGAAAGTAGCTATATATTTCAGGTCTGACTCGTTTACTAAACATTTTTTGAAAATATCTATGTGCACACCCATCTGCATATATAAGGAGAACCAAACGCTCACAACTATTGCCCTAACAAAGCTTTCTTCCTTGTGGAAAGACTGACAATAAATATAAAATATAATTATAATACATAATTAGTAATTATATAATTATAAATATATATCATTAATTAGTAAATATATAATATTACAATTACTATTTATAAATATGATTAGTAATTAACTATAATTAGGAAGATTATAATTATTAATAATTATATAATTATTCCATATAATTACATGTTATTACAGATAATGTATTATATACTATTAATTATATAACATTATTAATAATATATATGATTTACATTAATATATAATAATATAATACAATTATTAGTAATTATATTCACTCCAGATATAAAGCAAGATAATGGGTAAAGAGTGGTAGACACAGGGAGGTGGGGACGGGGAGGTGGTGATATTATAGATAAGACGACCAAAGGAACATCAGTTGTTTACCTAGAGAATCAATTGATTTATACTGACTATAATCACACCTATGGCTAAAGTTTGTTAGCAAGCTAACACTGAAAATGTACTTACCAACACTTGCCCCACAAAGGTCTGGGCCGAAAGCAACATTTCTATACGATCACGAAATCGTCCCTGGAAGTGGAGGCTTCTTACATGGTTCCTAGGAATGCTACCTGATGTGAACAGTTCCTACAATCGAGAGAAAGAAATTGATAATGTGAGCTGGATCTGAGAGAAAGAAATCTGTTTTACTTATGTTGATAGAGCCTCTTGTGATGGTATCAGTCGAAAACCACTCTACCTTGTCCAAACCAGGGAACCCTGAAGTTGCTTATTCAATATTTCATAATATGGATTTTACCGGATTTGCATTTTCCTGGTTTTCTGCACAGCTTTTTTTATGCTGAAATTCTGCAATCTTCCTCTATGTCTTTCTCATGTATACTCAGTCCCAGACCCTTCATACTGACATCATTGCAACGATCAGAATTGGCAGCATCATGCTTTCTTCTGCTCTGGGTATAAGTGTAACAGTTTTCATCAAGATATGTGGACAAAGAAAAAAGATTACAAATTGATTTTTTAGGTGATTACTTAAGTGTCTGCATTTTGTGAGAGAAGGGAGAAGTTTTCAGCAATTTTGTGTTGCTTTTAGTTTTTTTGGCTGGTATTATATTCTGAAATTATAATCCTTCCTCACATTTATAGAATGTCTTTTTTGTTGTTGTTGTTGTTGTTGTTGTTGAGATAGAGTCTCGCTTTGTCGCCCAGACTGGAGTGCAGTGGCGGGATCTCAGCTCACTGCAAGCTCCGCCTCCCGGGTTTACGCCATTCTCCTGCCTCAGCCTCCCGAGTAGCTGGGACTTTTTTGTATTTTTTAGTAGAGACAGGGTTTCACCGTGTTAGCCAGGATGGTCTCCATCTCCTGACCTTGTGATCCGCCCGTCTCGGCCTCCCAAAGTGCTGGGATTACAGGCGTGAGCCACCACGCCCGGCCAGAATGTCTTCACTTATTATATTTAAATGTTACAGTAATCTCAATGATAAAGTTAGGCATGACTAAATAAATTTTATATTGATGTGGAAACCAAGGTATAGAGAAATTAAATGACTTTCCTAATATCAGGCAATGAGGAAAGGCTGGGGCCTGAGCTGGCATTCATTGTTTGCTGATAATATTTTAGAACCACCACAAAGAAATACACAAACCACCTAGGACTACCCACACCAAGCTAAATGACTCCCTCTGACTTTCAAAAAAGCTCATTTTATATGAAACCAAGATTTCCAAAATCAGTTAATGTTTCTACTCATATTTTCTGAATGATAAGAAGGGAAGTCTCATTTAAAAACTCTTTGATAAAAGTTTACATCCTGATCAATTATTTGTCCTCTAATACACACGACTCATGTCTGTTTCTAAATGTTGTCTGAGAATTAATTAAAAAAAAATACTAGGTATGACATTAATATAGAATACTCATTTGAATTCCATCATAAAATGGAGCTACCTTCTGTGGAAAAACAAATTGGTCCTAAGATATAATAAAATCATATTTATAGATGTAATAAATGTTTTAAATGCACATTTAAGGAGAGAAATTATAACTCTCCAAATAATTTTTAAAATAACTCTTCACAGTACACCTAGATTTCTGACTTTTTTTTTTGCATTTGTCCAACTTCTCCAAAGGCTTAGAGAAAAACAGGTCACTCTTAATTTGATGAAACAAAACAAATTATTGAAAACTAACTCAACTTGATCAAACTCTTTCCTCAAGATTCAAAAGCAGAACGGTACAGCATTCTGGTTGCTCAGGCTCACTTCTTAACATTTTGTAACATTTGCTAAATATTTGTAATTAAAGGATACACCTGGATTGAAGTGTAGACATAAATTACACCCAAAGTAATAAATGAAAAATATAGGAAATTGACAAATGTATTCTCACATTTTTGTAATCACAGAAAATGAACATAATGGAGAAGAACACTGCCTGGAGCAGAAGACTAAGATTTAAAAATCCTACAAATTCAGTTGTGCATTAACAACAACAAAACAAGGTAGAAAACAGGAGGCAGATTCATCAAGGCTATTTACCCATGTCAGTATCCCAGCATTCTTTCTCCAATTATTGTGCCACTGCCTAAAATCCATAATGTAGAAATAATCAATAGAATAAACTTGTTTAGGAACAAAATCTATAAGCTTCAATATTGGCTAATTTTCAAATATGGAAAACAAAATTCCATATTACCAATAATCTTAAAAATTATCAATTTATAAATTATATTTCTGTAGGTTTTAGCACTAAAAGAAATGTTTTAAGCAAATTTTCAATATTATAATGCACAGGTGAAATGTGTTGTGTTATGGAAATTGCTATAATCTATCAGAGAAAGAAAGTTTGGGAAGCAAAAATGGAAACAAACTACACAGGGTATAATAAAACTCTTCGTCTTTGACCTCTGGTAATAGAACATCCATTACACAGCATTTGAGAGCTTTATTTCAAGCTCTTAAGCAATGCCTTATCTGTATAATACATCATTTATCCTCATCATCATCATTTGCCAGCTGTTATTCAACAACATCAACTCCTGCTAAGGTTGTTTGGTTATAAGAAATGTCCTTGCATCTATGCCTGGATAGCACAGGCATGTATGCATGAGCTTCTCTGTGTATGTGCAACTCAATGTGTTGTCTTCACATAGCATACAAAAGACAATGTACACATGTCGGTACATATGCATTATGCATGAACAATTTATGAAAGCAAGGTTGACGTTGATGTCTTGTTCCCTTTCACCTCCTTTCTACAACCTAGCACAATTGTCTTGTTAAAATTCAAGATAGAGTCATGGACATAATGTTTATGAACCTTTTTTTCAGAACAGTGACCTCCCTTTCCAGAGCTAACATTAATCATTATCCATACAAGACATTGCTTTTTCCAGAGATGGGAGAGAAAAGAGGCCTGACCCTGTCTCTTCAGGCTTCAGAATGTGGCCTGAGGTCTGGCTTACTACCCTTTCTGAGGCACCAGGCCAGAGAAGCTGCCTGTGTTAGCCTGAAAAACTGAATGAAGCTTAGATCTTTTGCTGAACACAAAACTACCCCAAACTTATCTGTAACTTCACACAAAGGGATCCCTAATAAGGAAACTGACCAAGATAATTCCTGTTCCCTTGATGATTTGCCATTTTTTAACAGTTCTCCAAATCAGCCTGAAGATCAGCAGGATGACGAGTCCACTGATGAAGGTCATAAAGGAGGAGAGAATGAATGCTACTTGGATCTCAGTTGTGCAGGACATTTTCTGCGAGTCTTCCCAACTTTCATTTCGTAGCTTAGTCTGAAACATGTTTGAGACATCAGTAGAAGGAATGGCCAGACCATTTGATGACGTCGTGGTCACCTGGTAACAATTCCAGGAATCAGAGTTCACTGTACCACAGTGTTCCAACGTTAAGTGTGATAACCAGTGGGAGGTTCCAGGAACAAGGGTCTGCCAATCCCCTGGTGCCAGCTCATGGGTTGTGAACGAATACACAACTGGAGATGGCTGGGGCCTACAATATGAATAGTCAAAAAATCATAATTCTACATCTGATTGTTACTGACTTTTTCTATGCCTTGAAGAAATCCCATTATCTATAGCAATGATCAGCTGGTTATCAGTTCAGTTAATACAGTCAGATAATTTCAAATCAACTCTTTTTGAGTGAAACAATAGCCAACTATGTGTGTAAATGAGTTGGTTCTCCATCTGGGAGGATGCCATGTGCTTAGTAGGCTTGGAAGGACAGAAGAGAGAAGTACTTTGAAGTTTTTATTTATCCTTTATACAAAGGAGCAGATATGCAGAATGAATAAGTCTAGAAGATTCAGTTTACAGAACAAAGACCATACTTAATAAAATTATTTTGTATTCAGGATTTTTGCTAAAAGAGTAGATTTTAAGGGCTCTTGTTACATGCACACAAAAAAAGATTAACTCCGTGAGATGACAGATATGTGAATTTGCTTGACTACAGTCGCTGTTTCACTATGCATAAGTATATTAAAAGAGCATTTTGCATTTATACTCGTATGTGGAAGCTAAAACAGTGGATCTCATAAAGATACAGTAGATTCGTGGTTACCAGAGGTCGGGAAGGGTGGCCGAAGAAAGAAGTGGGATAAAGAGAAGTTGATTAATGGGTACAAATATTTGGTTTAATAGAAGAAATAACACATAATTTTCTAAAGATCAGTGAGGTGACTAAAGCTTATGATAATCTATTGTACATTTAAAAATAGCTAGAAGAGAAAAATTTGAATGTTTCTAGCATAAAGAAAATACGAATATGTAAGTTGATTGATATCCCAAGTACACTGACTTGATCTGTACAAATTATGTGAACATATTATCCCACGTGACTTGAAAATATGTGTATCTATTGTGCATCAATCCAAAGAATATCACATTGTACACACAATGAAAATCAAGATTGTCTTGAAACAGAAAAAAAAGGGTTTTGTTTATTCTTTACATAAGAAAGGCATAGTATAGAGTGCAGGTATTGAAGAAGGCAATTTAACTAGTGTGGTCATTGGTTGATTGTTATTTCAGCCCATAAATCTGTTCCACTTCTCTCTTCTTTATGGAACTCTCTCCTCTCTTGCTTTTATTATTGCCCTGGTAGCAAACCTTTTGGCCCAGCAGAGGTAAAGTTCAGAATGAGAGAAATTTCTTTGATTTTCCCTGATGTTTTCAAAGGTGTAAGAAATGTCATGCCTTTCAGTGTGCACAAGTGGCAGGTGAAATGTCAGAGCCCAGTGGAGGGCCTAGTTCACCCCAGTTATTATGAAGATAACCTAACACCAGGTGAAGAGGCCCAAGAGAAATCTTCACACTGTCCTTGGGAGCCCGCCATGACTCCGCACTGTTTGGCAGGCTGCTTCAGAAGATAACTGTAGCATTTCCTAGAACTGCTGCCACAGTTACATTTCCTGCCTTTTTTTTTTTTTTTTTTTTTTTGAGGCGGAGTCTCGCTCTGTCGTCCAGGCTGGAGTGCAGTGGCCAGATCTCGGCTCACTGCAAGCTCCGCCTCCCGGGTTTACGCCATTCTCCTGCCTCAGCCTCCCGAGTAGCTGGGACTACAGGCGCCCGCCACCGCGCCCAGCTAGTTTTTTGTATTTTTTAGTAGAGACGGGGTTTCACTGTGTTAGCCAGGATGGTCTCGATCTCCTGACCTCGTGATCCGCCCGTCTCGGCCTCCCAAAGTGCTGGGATTACAGGCTTGAGCCACCGCGCCCGGCCCCTGACAGGATTTTGTAGAAATTTCATTTCTACAAAATCCTGTCATTGAGCTAGCTAATAATAAAAAGGGCAGTGTTTAAAAGAACACTGGTCGAGGAGTTAGGAGCCCTGCGTTCCAGCCTAGTCCTTTTGTTAAGTTACTGTGTGATGTCTAACAAGTCATTTTAATTTTCATAGTCTTTTGATTTTATGTGGAAGATAATACCTACTTGGCAGAATTATTGTGGGGATTCAAGAAGGTAGTGTGAACATATTTTGAAAAGCATAAAACTCAATATAAGATGCCATTAGCCATTTCAGTTCCTTTTTTGAATGGCACTAATTATAAAGAAAGGAGGAGGAAGAAAGTAAAGGAAAGGAGGGAGAGAAAGAGGGAAGGAGAGAGGGAGGGAGGGAGGGAAGGAGAGAGGGAGGGAGGGAGGGAGGGAAGGAGGAAGGAAGGAAGGAAGGAGGGAAAGGAAGGAAGGAAAGAAGGGAGAGAGGGAGGAAGGAAACAAGGAAGGGAGGGAGGAAGGAAAGAAAGAAGGGAGGGAGGGAGGAAGGAAGGAAGAGAAGGAGGAAGGAAAGAAGGGAGAGAGGGAGGGAGGGAGGGAGGGAGGAAGGGAAGGAGAGAGGGAGGGAGGGAGGGAGGGAGGGAGGGAAGAAGGAAGGAAGGGAGGGAGAGAGGGAGGAAGGAAGAAAGGGAGAAATCACTTGTTTATCTCTTTCACGTATGTGTGTGTGTGCATGCACACACACACATACACTTACAGCTATGTGGACAAGATCAGAGTTTCTAAGCCAAAATTCATCCACATCCTTTACTTAGTATTCTCTCTCTTAAGTAATGATTAATCTATCATTATCACTTTAATTTTCTCATTTTCTTCACTTTTGCTATTTACTATTTGTTAGAATGGAGAAAAGAAACAGAGACAGTGGTGGGGAGGGTTGCTCAACAGCAACACAGATTTATTGGACAAAGACTTGCAGAGGGGGAACACCAGACAGCGCTGGAGCCCAGGCCCTGCTTACTGACTGGAGCAGTTGTCGGTCTGGACAGGAGAGATTCAAAATCAGTCTCTTCAAACCCATCTTGAACCTAGAGTGACGAATGGTCCCTGTTCAGAACTGTCCCAGGTTCAAAACTGAAAGTCCAGTGTCTTGAGAAACCGCCTTGTCCTGGCAAACTGCAGCACCTAGTCACCCCGCATCCCACAACACATCATCTATGCTGCGCTCCAATCCTGCTGCCTCCTCTTAGCTATGAGGACATACAAACCTTTTCCTGGCCCAGGCCCTTACAGCACAATGCCTCTGTTCCCTCTGCCCAGAGCACTCACTTCAGTAGTGGCTGCTATTTTGTTGGTCTTCAGATCTCCCTTGGTCTCTCTTACGGCTTTCTGACCCTTTCTTTTATAGCACTTCATAGTACTCAAGATTTGTTGTTATGTGATTTACTTGTTGCCTGGTTTATTTTCTGTCTCTTTTCACAAGACTGTAAGCTCCACAAGCACGGGATGTCATTTCTGCTTTACTCATCACCGATTACTGTATCTAGTGTTGTACCTGGCACGTGCCTGGGAATATGTACGGACTTTGTAAATATTTGGCGATTGAACGAATGCATGCTGATCCTCAAAAATATTTGTTAGGTGAATGAAATACTGAATCTGCATCAACCTTAACCCAAGTTATCCAGACTTCTCTGCTCCATATTCTCCACTTCTGACTGCAAACTGTTCTTGTGACGAAAGCATCACCCATAGTGTGTAATGCATGGTTCATACTGTGTGTGTATGTGCGTGTGTGTGTGTAGTGAAAAGGGCACCTGATTTGGATCAAGTGTCAAAGTGTCACCATCTTTGCAAATTTAAATTTGGTAATTATGGCCGGATTTGGTGGCTCATGCCTGTAATCCCAGCACTTCAGGAGGCCAAGGCGGGCAGATCACCTTAAGTCAGGAGTTTGAGACCAGCCTGACCAACATGGTAAAACCCCCCTCTACTAAAGATACCAAAAAAATTAGCCATGTGGGATGGTGGATGCCTGTAATCCCAGCTACTCGGGAGGCTGAGGCAGGAGAATCACTTGAACCCGGGAGGTGGAGGTTGCAGTGAGCCGAGATGGTGCCGCTGCACTCCAGCCTGGGCGACAGAGCAAGACTCCGTCTCAAAATTAAAAAAAAAAAAAATTGGTAATTATTCTCGGTGAGTTATTTGGTGATGGGTGGACATGTGACTAGGCATAGCCCTTTATAGCTTGGTAGCAGTTCAGGGTTCAGAACTTGGAAGGTAGAGAACTTTGAAGCAATGATACCCTTCACAGTAATGAAAGATAGTATTCTCCTTGTACTTGATGGTTTGATAAGAATAAAACACAATAACTATTTTTTTGACTACCAACTGCAAGCTAGAATCTTTGTTGTCTAAGTGTGTGTGTGTTTGTGTGTATTGAACAACTACCTTATACCAAGGACTGGCAGCACCAGGGTCACCAAAACAAATCTAGTTCATTCCCTCACAGAAGATAGAGTCAACTGAGGAAGATATTTACAATGACAAACTGCAAAAAGTGTTTAGAAAACAAACTAATCTAGTAAGGAGCGAGGGGGTCAGGAAAGCTACCTCAAATACATCATGTTTGAAGCTGAGGTCTGGAGGATGAGAAGCTTCCCAGGCCAGGACCACAGAAGGGGTTAAGGAGGCTGGGGTAAAGCATGTTTAGGCTGGGAAGGAGAATGCACCATTTTTTTTTTTTTTTTTTGAGACAGAGTCTTGCTCTGTTGCCCAGGCTGGAGTGCAGTGGCGCAATCTCGGCTCACTGCAAGCTCCACCTCCCGGGTTCACGCCATTCTCCTGCCTCAGCCTCCCCAGTAGCTGGGACTACAGGCGCCCGCCACAACCCCCTGCTAATTTTTTGTATTTTTAATAGAGACGGGGTTTCACCGTGTTAGCCAGTAGGGTCTCGATTTCCTGACCTCGTGATCCGCCCGCCTCGGCCTCCCAAAGTGCTGAAGGGCATTCATCATCGGCCAGATGAAACGCAGTGACCCAAAAGAAGGCTGGGCGTGTATAAACGTGTTGCAGGACTTTTCCTTGGTTCGGGTAAAGACGGGGTCCTCGTCCGTCCCATGGCCATGAAAATTTAGGCTCGCAGGTGGTTTGAATGGTGAGTAGGAGAGAGTTGTAGTGGGTGAAGAGGAAGAAAAGGGGGAAACGAACTCTCGCAAGGCGAGTACCTGCTAGGGCGCTTCCCGCCTGCAGCTTGAATCCCAGGTTCCACACAGGAAGAGGAGGGGCCAGGCTCCTCCCTGCTCCAAAGGGCACGAACTTCTGTGTCTCCACCCCAGTGCGCATTCCTCCTAGTGCGCAGGTTGGTTGGCGGTTTTCCGGGACCGCTTCCAACCTGGCTGTCTCAAAGGGAACCAGATTATGCAAGGCTTTGTGTTCCAGCTTAGGCTAAAAACCAAGAACAACTTTATCCTAAGGTCAAGAGGAAATATTTGATAGGTTCTAAAGAAGGGAGGTAAGTGATTGCATTTCCATTGTGAAAGCGTCACACTGGTTTCCATGCAGAGACAGCTGGTCCCGACCCTGACAGAACGCTAGTTCTGATGGGATGAGGCTGGTGGGAAGAGACACAAGTGCGCAGATTGAGTGATGTATGGGGAAGTCAGCATTTGGGACGTGAGGGCCAGGAAGCATCAAAGCTGATCCTGGGTCTCTGAGTGATACCTCTGGGTGGTTCCGGGGGCTTTTCACTGCTATGCCTTTAATAGTAAATCTAAGAAATGAAGACTGTGCTACGGAATCTATTCTTTTTTTTTTTTCTTTTTTTTTTATTTCAGATGAATTTTTTAACATTTTATTGTTTTTGATTAGAAAAATTGCTTCATTTTGTACACATTTCTGTAATTTGCCTCTGGGCACTCAAATATTCTGGAAAATTATACTTTGTAATGGGATTGAATAAATGTTTAATTTTAAAAATTTACTCTCTTAAGAAACATGCCATATCTGGGAAAGGAAAGTAAGAATTACATTTTTTAAGTGTAGATAACAGCACTCATGAATGTGTGTGTGTGTGTGTTTGCAATGCGTCCGGAAGTAATAAATTATATTGTAATGTTGCCTTTTAAGTGCCTATCCATTGCACTTAATGCTATACCCCCACATTTCTCTATTTCTACAAGCAGAGTTTTTCTTTTTATATCCTCAGAGCACATTCATACCATTGGGAAATTGCAATGTTGAGAAATGCTAAGCCTCAATCCTCAATTCGTGTGGCCAGTCAATGGCAGAAGCAGGTCTGAAGTTGGGGATGGAAATGGCTGTAATGCCACAGAGCACTAGAGTCATGGCGAAAGCCCATCACAGCCAGCTACTTCTGGGGAACTCTCTCCTTGCTGAGTTTTTATATATATCACTAAGGAAATTGACTTAAAGATTAGAGCTTCAGTTTCTCAAGATGTGTATATGGAGTTATTTAAGTTACCACGTCTTTACCTTAAACCTCCTTAAGGATTCATTTTTGGTTTGACCCCTCTTTTTACATTTCACCAACAGGGTACATAACATATTAATTACTTTTAGAGAAGTTCCCTCAAAGGGAACATTTTTTTTTTTTCTCTACAGAATCTTGCTCTGTCACCCAGGCTAGAGTGCAGTGGTGCGATCTCAGTTCACTGTAACCTCCGCCTCCCAGGTTCAAGTGATTCTCCTGCTTCAGCCTCCTGAGTAGCTGGGATTATAGGCACACAACACCACGCCCAGCTAATGAGGGAACATAATTCAATCCGTATTTTATTTAGCCCCATGACCTATTGAGACTTACCGTTTGAAAAAGGCACTGTATTTTCTCTGCAGTCTGTTGTTCCCTGTGTATTCTAAATGGACAAACCGCAGCAAGACGTTCCACTGTGATGTGAATGTTAACCCAATAACAGGATGTCTGTGATGCTCTGTTGTGCATATGGATCTGCTTTTAGAAACTAACAACTCTTGAAAGAATATTACAAACAATATAATGCATTTAACATCCATATGGAAACCCTGAGTTTTATTTGTATTTTTTGTTGAATTTGTTAATACACTTCTGAAATATAAGACTCAGAACAAGTTTCTTATGCTCCCTGAAGCATAGTTTTCTCATCAGTGTAAAGAAGAGTCTGAACTGATCTCTGAGATCCCTTCTGACATTGACATACTACCAGTCTTTTATTCTGTAATCTTAGATTATTTCTGTAATAGACTGTAAACACCTTACCATATTTCTATAATCTGACCTCATTCTCCAAATGGACTCTTTTAAAAAATGAACACAGAGGAAGAAGCATCATTTCTGAATGGCTTTTTATTGAAGGCATCCTCTTTAATAACATAACTTGAAATCCAATTTGGTTTCTTTTTAGATCTCACAGAATTACTTTTCTTCATAAAGAGAATGTGGTTACCTTGGCCACTGTCTCTGATTTCATCTCTAATGCTACGGCCTTGTTCCCTATGTGGTCTGATTTAAAATATCCTGACTAACTTGACAGAAAGATCATCTGTTAAAAGATCATCTCTTACCTTTGCTCTCCCTAGTCTCTCAATTCCTTTTTTCTCACCAATTTGCTTTCTGCAATACTGCAGATCTGTGCCTCATTTTGGGTGTTTGCAAAGTGCATTTGAATGTTCATGCCTATATCAAATACTTGGGGGTATTCCTTGGGTCTATTGCTAAATATAAAGTAAAACATTGCTCAGTTTCTTTAATTTTTGGATTTGCGATTCCTATTTTTTTGTATTAAATACTTGAAGAGTGGTGTTCATAAATTGTGGTACAAATTCAACAACAAAAGTTAAAACATGAGTCTTCTCCATTCAGCCAGTAGATGGAAGTATTTCACAGGGAATTAGCAAGCAGCAAGCTTTTGTTGTTTTGGGACTTTTTTTGGTGTTTTTTTTTTTTTTTTTGGGGGGGGGGGGTTGTTTTTATTTTTTTTTTTTTTTTGTTTTTAAAAAGTTAGAGGAACCTGTCTGGAATAAAAGTGGAAAGGGGAAATGAAAAAGAAAAAAAAAAAGACTAAGAGAGGGGCACCCAATCCCATAACATGCAGGGCTTCCAAACTGATTCAACCTCAGCAAAAACCTGTTTTCTGTTCAGGCTCTGTCTATTGTCTTCTGTGATTTTTTCCTTTTGAGAGAATAGGAGGATAAATTAAACTGTTGATAACTCTGGAGTTTTTTTTTTATTTTTAATGTAATCTCTATAGATCCTTGAGAGTCCTAAAAATCTTTTCATGAGAATGAATAATGCAATCAGTCTCTTCAGCAATCAGGCCAGCTGAGCATCAAGCTGGTGATTTTATTGGAATGCTTAATGTCCACCACAAAGCGGAGTGAAGGAGACAGCAGTGGAGGCTCACTGTTGGCAGTTCTGACTAGCAACTCTGGCCAAGCTTCTGATGCCAGCCCTTTGCCCATCCTCTCCACCACTCCTGTTTGGAATTAGTGGTCTGTCATTAAAAGACTAAAGCAAATCACCAGGCATTGGCCCAGTGGCTGGTTGCATTATTTCCGTGGGTGCTGTGTGAACGTGTTTCCGAAATCCTAATTACAATGAACTGTGTATTTGTTTGAGTCCCAACATGAGGCTTAGGTTAAAAAACAGTTGTCACCCCACAACAGCATAGGAGATGAAAGCCATCTTTTCTGTATCAGATCTCGTTGAATTGGCACGTTCATGCAAAAATACTCCTTTCCACAGCCTTCTGTCTCCTTGTAAGCTCTGGCAGGAGTTGAAAGGAGTGGCCATTAGATCCATCTTTGGTTTGAGGATAGCCCAGTAGTTTTTCAATTAAGGGAGAAACTAAAACGCCATGGATAAAATAGCTCTCCATAATAAAATTTATTTTAATTCACATATTTACAAGAAAATACAAACAAATGCTATAAGATGCATGCACGAGGCAAATGAAATACCCTGAAACTGATTAACATATTCTTATGCAGAGCTTTACTTATTCACCCAGCTTTGTTCTTTCTACCATCAAAGGGTCATGTTGCCCTCCTTATTGGTATTTCTGACTTTCTTCATCAGTATTGTGATTTTAATTGCATTTGTCTAAAAACTGCCTTTCTATGCAATGCCCTTGATGTGGAGCTGTTTGCATTAATACATTTATTTTCTTTTTTCAGCATGTCCTCGAAGTATCGGTCTTTGGAATATAAAATGCAAAAACTATATAGATAAATATTGGGGTACAAGAATCAGTGAGCATTAAATCTGTTTAGCACTTATTCCTGTTCATTCTTTTTAGAAAGGAGGAAACTGATACCCAGGCAGAAGAATTTGTTCTTCAAACTATGAATGCAGAGCTACCCCAATTCATCCACACGCATAGTATTTCGCAGAATAAAAGAAAACCCTATGATGTCAAGCAGTCATAAGGACTAATGATAAGCTTATTTGGCAAAACCTTTGATTTGGCAAATCCTCTGAGTTTTAAAATATCTTCTAATCTTATTTCTAACAAGCATTGAACTGATGGGAGAAAAGGGAGTACTACAGATAAGATAAAGATCAAATCCTTTGTGGCCAAGAGAGATAGTGAAAGGAGAGAGCATAGCAATTTGGTAGCAAGATTTTATTTGCTTGTCAAGGTAGCAACTCTCTATGGAATGGCCATCTCTGAGCAAGTGACCCCTTCCTATCCGCATGTATGCTGTGTCCTGAGCGCCCTGTGTCCAGTCCCTGACGAGCCAGTGTCATTGCAGTTTCTTCAAAGCAAAGGTCACTGTTGGGAAATTTTGCCACCAGAGGGCAACACTGTCTAACTTTTGCTCTTAGGGACCTGCCAACACCCCCACCAACTTCTACAACTTCCACCCCCTTTTTAAGGAAAAGTGTGTGTGTGTGTGTGTGTGTGTGTGTGTGTGTGTTTTCCCCAGGAGTATGCCAAATAGACCCTTCAGAAATCACATCTTTGCAGTCCCTGATCAGAATGGGGGGAAAGAAATGCAGTCCTGATTAACAATGAGATACAGGAGGGCCCTTGGCGACTTTCCTGGCAATTACCTTGGTGCTCACTTCGATGAAACTGGAAGGACAAATGTTTGGGGCTATAGATGTGAATCTCACTAGTATAACTAGGCAGGGTGGTTGCATGTAACACAGGTAACTCTGTTCATTTTTTAAAAGAGTCCATTTGGAGAATGAGGTCAGATTCTAGAAATATGGTAAGGTATTTACAGTCTATTACAGAAATAATCTAAGATTATAGAATAAAAGATTGGTAGTATGTCAATGCCAGAAGGGATCTCAGAGATCAGTTCAGACTCTTCTTTACACTGATGAGAAAACTATGCTTCAGGGAACATAAGAAACTTGTTCTGAGTCTTATATTTAAGAAGTATATTAACATCTGAAAATCCAGAGAGGATTTAGGTTTGCAAAGTTCATTCTTGTCCTGGATCACCATCCTTGGATTAGTTAACTTAGTGAAAGAACTAAAAAGTAAACTCGTTTATTGCATCTCCACT